AATCACTTAATGACTTTCAAAAGTTATTAGGAGACATAAATTGGATAAGGCCTTATTTAGGTATACCAACAGGAGAGTTGGGACCTTTATTTGATATCCTAAAAGGTCCATCAGATCCAAATTCACCCCGAATGTTAACACCTGAAGCAAGAAAGGCATTAAAAATCATTGAAACATATATGGAAAATATGCATTTGGATAGAATTGATATAAGTTTGCCTTTATTATTTATTGTACTACCAACAAAAAATATTCCTACAGGAGTATTTTGGCAAGAAGGTCCATTATTATGGATACATTTATCTTATTCTCCTAACACTATTCTTACTAGGTATCCTGAGGCTGTAGGACAATTAATACTCAAAGGAATAAAAGCAGCAAAGGGAGTGTTTGGAATTTCTCCCAATAAAATTATTACTCCATATACTATGAATCAAATTGATGAGTTAGCTAATGAGTTAAATACTTGGGCAATAATCATGTGCAAATCTAATGTTTCATTTGATAACCACTTACCATCTAATCCTTTATTGTCTTTTTGGTCATTGCATCCTGTAATTTTTCCAAAAATGACAAGAAAAACCCCTATCATGAATGCTCCAAATATATTCACTGATGGGTCAAATAATGGTACAGCAGCAATAGTTACACCTGATCAAACTTTTATATTTTTAGTACCCAAACAATCAGCTCAAAAGGTAGAGCTTAATGCAGTTTTACAAGCTTTTGTGATGTTTAAAGATTCTGTATTTAATTTATTTTCTGATAGTCAGTATGTAGTTAATGCTATAGTATCTCTTGAAGATGCTGGTAGGATTTCCCCTTCTTCTACTGTTTTCTCTTTGCTTTCCACTATACAAAGTCTAATCTGGGACAGAAAAGATCCATTCTTTATAGGACATATCAGGGCACATACAGGATTGCCTGGAGCCCTTAGTTTGGGCAATGATTTAGCAGATAAAACTACACATGACATACATATTTTCTCTACACTAGAAGAAGCTATAAATTTTCATAAAAAGTTCCATGTCAATGCTAATACTTTACAAAAGCGTTTTAATATAACTAAGGAACAAGCTAGACAAATAATAAAACAATGTCAAAATTGTGTGACCTTTTTACCACAAGTTAATCTTGGAGTCAATCCTAGAGGATTGATACCTAACCATATTTGGCAGATGGACGTCACACACTTGCCAGAATTTGGAAAATTAAAATATTTGCATGTTACAGTTGATACTTCTTCTGGATTTTTGATGGGCTCCCTTCATGCCGGAGAAAAAACTAAAGATGTTATAGCTCATTGCTTACAAAATTTTGCCACTGTGGGTGTTCCAAAACAGTTAAAAACAGATAATGCCCCTGGTTATACTTCTACCTCTTTTAAACAATTTTGCTCAACATTTGGCATTACTCATATAACAGGAATCCCATACAATCCACAGGGACAAGGCATAGTTGAAAGAGCTCATCAAACTATTAAAATGTACTTATTAAAGCAAAAAGAAGGAATTGGGAAGGGGTATATATTCCCCAAAGATAAACTTAAAATAACCCTTTTTACTCTAAACTTTTTAAATTTGGATTCATCAGGACTTAGTGCTGCGGAAAGGCATATGTGTCCAAAAAATGTGCATAAGCCCAAGGTACTTTGGAAGGATATTCTAACAGGACAATGGAAAGGTCCTGACCCAGTAATTGTCTGGAGTCGGGGGTCTGTTTGTGTGTTTCCACAGGGAGAACAGCAGCCGATTTGGATTCCAGAGAGATTAACCAAGGTCCTGACCCAGTGATTGTCTGGAGTCGGGGGTCTGTTTATGTTTTTCCACAGGGAGAAGAGCAGCCGATTTGGATTCCAGAAAGATTAACTAAAGCGATTTCTACAGACCAAAAAGAAGATGATTTGGCTCAAATCCATAACAACTGATATCCAAAACTCCAGTTTGGCTATTCTTACATCTGCAACAGAACCAGGATGCTTTTTTCAACATCTATTTTATTATTGCCCTTTGCCATATCATGAAGTTCTATTTTGTTTTTTGAGCTCATACAGACCTAGGTTAATGTTTTGCTGATCAGTTCTATTTTTTGACTATAGAGTTTTTAAACATTGCAATGGAGATTTCACCTGTAAAAAGTTATAAGGCCTTTACTATAATGTTATGTGTTGTATGTATTCTGTGTGCACACTTGTGTTTTGTGTTATATGTTTGAATGTACGTATGTCCATATATCATATATGATGAGCGTTCATGATAAAATGGATCCAAATTTTTTTTCCACGTGATTTATATGGTTTAATTTAAATTGGGTAAACAGGGGCTGGGGATGTGGCTCAAGCGGTAGCGCGCTCGCCTGGTTTGCCTGCGGCCCGGGTTCGATCCTCAGCACCACATACAAACAAAGATGTTGTGTCCGCCAAAAACTAAAATAAATAAATAAATATTTAAAAAAAAAATAAATAAAATAAATTGGGTAAACAACTGTTGAGGATTGTTTTAATATGTAAACAAAAAAGAAGGTTAACAGATCTGTTTGTTTACTTTCACCTTTCCTTTTCATTATATTTAATAATTCTCTTAAAGATAATGTAAATTGTTAAGAAAATTGTTTTCTTTTAGTGCCTTCTGTAATGTTACATAATTTTTTCTTTAGCCATTATTGCCAGAATTCCTATCTTCATCCCAGTGCCAGTGAAGACAATGTAAATTGTTAAGAAAATTGTTTTCTTTTAGTGCCTTCTGGAATGTTACATAATTTTTTCTTTAGCCATTATTGCCAGAATTCCTATCTTCATCCCAGTGCTGGTGAAGTCAAAGATAAAACCAATCTACAGCTTCTACAATAGCCATCACTGAACTGCTTGCAGAACTTGCCTGGACACATTGTGAGCTCACCTGTATGCATTGTGAACTATCTGTTGGTGCAGCGACTTGTGGTAGTGTTGGGGTATTTTTGCTGATGATGTCATTGGTGGTACAATTTTTCCAAAAGGAGCCGTCAATTGGCCTGGTGTATCTTCCTCCCTTCTGCTTGTCATGATCGTCCAGCTAAAATTTGGGGGCCAACAGAGGTGAAGCAAAGAACCTCACCCCCCCGCTGGTACAAAGACCTCTCCACAGGTGTGGCTGTATACTGGACCGGTAGTCAGTGACGGGTAAGATCCAATTGCAATGGTACCAACCTAAGGACCATATGTACTATTGGACAACCTAAGGCAGGCACGGTCCCTAAGCCACATGCTTGTTGTTTAAACAGAGAGGGGGAGATGTTGAGAGCCACAGCCGAAGGGGCCCCAGCAAACTTCCAGCTGCCGGCTGATGATTGGCTCACAGTGGCCCCAGCAACATCTAGCTGATTGGCTGCTCTGCGGTGATGCTCATTGGGCTGTTTCCCTGCCCTTTCAGACCACGGAGCTGCTCATTGGGGGACTTTTTTGGCTCCGCCCACGTGACCCAGCCAATCGGCCTCAAGAGCAGGAGGATTGTGGGAGGTAGAGAGAAGCTTGTGTGGGAGAGAGGCTTGTGGAAAGCCGGTGGTGGCAGTTGAGGCTCTGAGGGTTTTTCCTGAGAGGCTGTTTTGTTTGGTGTGTGTGGTTCTAAAAATAAAGTTAGTTTCTTTTGACAAGTGGCTCCTGATTGTGCCCAGCCAGACTGCGGCACTCCTCTTCTGATCACTGCCCTACTTTCCCTTCTCTCAACCCCCCCATGTCACCCAGCAGACCCCTTGGGTGGGACAGGATCCACAGGTTTTGTCAGGGAGGAGCTTAGTCTGCAGCTGCGGTTGGGAGGGTTTATACACAGATAAGAGGAATGGAGTGAAGGATTTAGAAGCGTTTCTGTCAGGAGGCAGAAATGTCACAGCTCTGAAGGGCCCCTGAGGATCACTTAACACTGGGACAATGGCCAGCGAGGGGAGTCAGGGAGCGGTAGCACCAGAGCCTGCCCCAGGTCTCTTGTCTCCCTTCTAAACTTTAGCCTCGCTCTCTGGGGACCAGCAGGGACTGCCCCCTTCCATCCTGATGGCTGGCTGCCACTGCTTTCTTCACTGTCCTCACTTCAGTCCTGCTTTTTTCTGAGGAGGCCCCAGGATACCCTCTATATGGACGCTAGGACAGGATGGGAATGCCTGAGAGGAGGAAGCGAGGGAGACAAGTGCAAGTGGCGGGTGAGGACTAATTGGGGTGTTAGGCCAATTTGGAGACATGCTTTGGGCAACAGTGAACTAAGATTATGTTCTGTATTTAACTGAGCAGATGAGGGTTGGCTCTATATTGAACTGTACAGTACATTTAACTGAGGGTAGATTCCAGATTTAAATGAAAGGTAGGGACTCCAGTTTTAAGAGGAAATGAGTTTTACAAGGGAAGGGAGCCACTGTATTTAGCCAACAGCAGGCACTGTCTGTAAGGATAAGGTAAGATATTTGAATTAAGGATAAGTACTATATTTAACTAAGGACAAGTTCTGTTTTAAAACAAAAGTATTCTATTTAACTAGGCATTTAACCCGAAGGCAGCCATTGTCAAGGGAGCAGAAGAGCGTGGTCACCACATTTAGCTGGACAGTGTACTCTCCCATTCAAAACACAGGGATGGCAGACTCCATGCAACCTGGGAAAGCAGAACAGCCCTTTCTGGGGGCTTCCATCTTAGCAGACACTGATCTCTGTTCCTGAAGTCGGTGCCCCATACTGGATGGATGTGTCCTTGAGGCAAGGTCATTTAAGAGCCAATGGGGGGGCTGGGGATGTGGCTCAAGTGGTAGCGCGCTCGCCTGGCATGCGTGCGGCCCAGGTTCGATCCTCAGCACCACATACAAAACAAAGATGTTGTATCCGCCGATAACTAAAAAATAAATATTAAAATTCTCTCTCCTCTCTCACTCTCTCTTTAAAAAAAAAAAAAAAAAAAAGAGCCAATGGGGAGACAAGAATAATTGCCCTGCTGCCCGGGTCCGTACGCTGGGTGGAGGGGATGGAATAAGAGGAGCACGATGACAGACTTGCATGACCATGTTTATTCAAACCACCAGATCCACCCCAATACAGAGCACTCTAGATCCCATCTCACCTTCCAGGGAAGGTCCTGGAGCCTGGGAGAGGGGCCTGATGCTCCTGTCCCTAAAGAGGGAGTCAAGACAAGGCTTGGGGCTTCCTGATGACCACTTTAACTCCTCCCACTGCCTGTCCCTATGGGGGACTTAGGATAGGCTGCTCATCCCATGTTGGGGTGGGATCTCTTAAAGTCACCCCTTGAGCAAACCCCCAGGAATTGAGGGTGCAGAGCCTGGTCCTGGACACCTCATGTCTCTGGGCGGGGAAGTCACGATCCCTCATCCGTCAGGTCTGCTCCACTCTCCACCCCACCAGGGGAAGGACGTGTGTGCTCCTCACTGTCCACTGAGGACCCAGGAGGCTCCCTGCATGGCGTTCTCCTCCCCTTGGCATCAGGCCAGCAGGCGGCTGTACTCTGCCAGAGCAGAAGACTTTTTCACCCCATCCCAGATCCGGGCAGCATAGTGGAACCTGTGAGAGGAGGTCAACAGTCAGGGAGGCTATGGCCGAGGCCCCTGGGCAGGTGGGAGAATGGAGGCCGTGTTATGGCCCAGCACATGACTCCAGAGTCTCTCAGAGCCCACTTCCCTTGACTGAGACACAGGGAAGACGCCAACCCCAATGGAAGGCGGCCCTGGTTCTCTCATCTCACCCAGGGAACTGGAGCTAGGTGCTGGGCTCCAAGGAAAACTTCAGGTGCCATATCTGAGTCAAACCTCCTACCCCTCTCAGTTGTGGCCTCTGTGGGGGAAGGTTTTTACTCCTACCTCCCTCCAATGTTGTGATGGTGGAAAACATTTTTGCAGCAGCTGCACAACCTCTACCAGCCAGGTCCTCCCCATCCCCACTGGGCCCTGGCTCAGACCAGCGGGAGGAGCAGAGTGAGGCTGAACACCAGCTGGCCCCCTATAAGCCCCGCGTGTCTTCCTGCTGTGTTTGCACTCCTAGCCCCTCCTGGCCACAGCCAACTGAAAACAGACCATGGGGAGCCAAGGAAGCGGGGCTGCACGGAGCCAAGCTACTTTTCATATTTGTTTCTCTTGGAAATAAAATGAGGCAGGCCTGGACCCATTTGCTGTGGGCTCTGGACACAGAAGTCATGTAAAGTATTGGCTAGAAAAGAAGTTTAGTGGCATGTGGAAGCAGGGGGAGAGTCAGCAGGAGGAAAGTGGAGGAAGACAGTGAGACGGAGCTACCCACTGAGAGCTGAACACAGCGCCTGTGGCTCCTGTTGGCTTCTGGTTCCCTTCTCCTGTAAGGCTAGTTCACTCAGGTCCTTGGATCTTCAGGTTTAACTAGGCTCATTGATCCTTCTCTTAACAATCAAGTGTGACCTTTCTATATGACACTTTTCTCTGAGGCTAAATTTACAACCAATAAAATCTTGTGAAAAGACCTGTTACCCGCCCCCCACTTGCTAATCAGGAGGATCCAAAGTCATGAAACGGCATGCTGCCTGGCACGGATAAGGTGTTTCTAAGACGGCAGCAATCATCACTGCTCTAGAAAAGGATGCTGAGGTCTGGAGAGGAGGGCTAAATGAAGTCACACAGATCTCTGAGACCCTCCTTTTGTTTGCAGTAGGGTGGGGCACCTCTAATTGACCCTCTACAAAAAGCTCTTACCAGTTCTTCTCAGTAAGGATTGTGTGTGACAGCTGTGGCCGAGCCATGGACATCACTTGGCTCCTGAGCTTGCTCACCAAAGACTGGAAACTAGGGTGGCCACGGTACCCAGGCAGCAGGGAGAAGAGTGGGCTGGAACCAGGCCCTGGAGAGTGGGGTGGGGAGAATAAGACAGGCAGACTGCAGGAAGGTCTCCCTGCAATCAGCATCCTTGGCTTCAAGAACACCTCAGAGTTCAGCCCCAATCCAACTCTTCCTATACCCTCACGACTCTGAACAGGTTCCTAAGAAAGGGTCCAAGCACTTTAGGGACATCTTTTCTCAGGTCCATGTCACTCCCAGATCAGGACAGCCTATTTCATCTCCGACCCCAGGGAAGGCTATCTCCCCATGGCCCCGATTCCCTTGAAGAATACCTGCCCTTGGTGGGGTCTCACTTTCTGCTTCACTATCCATGAAGGGCACCAGGAACAAGTTGACCTCAGAGTCCAGGAAGTCAGGCGGGAGCCCAGGAAAGACATTGCACTGTAACATGGACAGAGTACCTAGAGGAGGAAAACACTTCAGCCTACAGATACCACACTGTGGGTCAGGGGGGTGAGAGTAGATAATGTTAGAGCCAGAGTCAGGAGGTCTGGGGGTCTCTGCCAGGGGATCGTACCATGGGTTAGAAAGCTACTATTTAGCTAGAAGGTGGTTCTCACCCTTGTAACGCAAGTGGGAATGCGCCATGAGCTGGTCGATCATCAAGTGCATTTGCCGCAGCTTCCGAGGACAGAAGTCCTCCCGGCGAGCTTTATTCTGTAGGAAGACTGAGGGCGGGAGCAGACAGGCTGCGTGAGGAAGGCAGTGCTGGCTCTCACAGAGTCCCCTTTCTCACCCTAAAGATCTGCCCTCACCTGGAGTTCATATCACCATCAATATTTCTGTAACCTCACCTTAATGCCAAGCCCTGTGCAGGGAGATTCTAGAGTCCCAGGGACAAGTCAGAACTGGTTTCTGCCCTCAAGGAGCAGCCAGTCTAATGGAAAGATGAGGAGGAAGATGGCCATACGACTGGGAGTGTGATAAGCAGCATAAGGGGCTTAGCAAGGCCGGGGAGGTAGGGAAGACCCTGCATGGCGTAGAGGGTCATAAATGAACGAGATCTTTGCAGAAGGTGAACCAAGGATGTTGCAGGAAAGGAGTGGCAGGTACAAAGGCTGGACGAGGAAGAATAGGCACCTGAGGGCTCTTCCAATCAACCCAACACTCCTTTCTTGAGCCCTATACCAAGAAGTGCCAGGGACCCAGAAATAGGCAGATCCTTTCTGATCCTAGGCTTGGTGGCCAGGACTGTACTGAGGCAGCGGGAATCTGAGAGGAAGCAGCAGCTAATCCCTTTTGATTTCCCTCTTCACAACTCTCCTACGTGCTCATTCCAGATCCCACATCTGCTCTCCCTGCTTCCTGAGGCTCATGGCTTTCACTCCCTCCTTCTTCTTCCCGCCCGTTCCTCTAGCCCCCAGGAAACCTCGTACCCAGGTGGGGATAGTACTCAGTGCCTTCATCAGAGCCTGATGAACTGCTGGACTCGTGGCTGGGGGACGGAGTGGAGGGCTTCACCATCTCTGCTGTCTGGAGGAACCTGGGGGTTTGGAGTGAAAGGCTGTTTGTTATTGCAGGAGCAATAAACACTTGCACTCCTTACCCCCCAGTCTGGGTGTGGGGTGCCCCTTGAAATTCTGATGAAAGCTATAGTCACATACATGCCGTATTTCTCACACAATTTTAAGGAGTTCAGAGACAACCCTCAGACACCAATCCATGGAACTATGTCAACTGTGCAAAAATTTTATGTGTTTACCATATTTTAAAAAAATAGCCAGTTATGGTAGCATGCATCTGTAGTTCCGGTTATTTGAGAGGCTGTGGTGGCAGGATCACTTGAGCCTAGCTTGGGCAACATAGACCCTGGCTCAAAAACAAAACAAAACAAAACGACTATTTTTTAGAAGCTTTAGGTTCACAGCAAAATTGAGCAAGAAGTACAGAGTTCTCATATACCTCCTGCGCCCCCACCCCCACAGCCTCCCCCACCATCAAGAGCCCCTGTAAGAGTAGTGCATTTGTTACTGATGATCCTACACTGACACATGGTTATTACCAAACCCATAATTTACATTAGGGTTCACTCTCTGTGTTGCGCATTCTGAATCTGGACAAATTAGGATGACATGTACTCACCATTACAGCACCTTACAGAGTACTTTCACTGCCCTAAAAAAGTCTTCTGTGCTCTGCCAAATCCTCCCTCCCTCCACCCCCAGCCCCTGGCAACCACTATTTGTTTACTGTCTCCACAGTTCTGCATTTTTGTAAAGTTAAAGTCATAAAGTTGGAACCACATGGTACACAGCCTTTTCATATTGGCTTTCTCATAAGCATTTTAGTTTCCTCTGTGTCTTTTCATAGCTTAATAGCTCACTTCTTTTTAGCACTGAATAATATGCCATTGTCTGGATGCACCAGTTTCTTTATCCATTCACCTTTTGCAAGACACTTTGGTTGCTTCCAAGTTTTGGCAATTACGAATAAAGGTGCTATAAATATCTGTGTGCAGGTTTTTATGTGGGCATGTTTTCAGTTTGTGCTATTTTGAAATAAACTTTCCCAGTATGTGAAAGTAAATAAAATAAACCTGTTATCCAAGATAAGGGATAATGGGGTCTAATAAAATGTGTGGACTTTCTCCTCATAAACAAAAACATTACCACAATTTTAAGGGGCCCACCTACTCTGAGAAACCCACCTGCAGAAAATGGCTTAACAACAAGGCTCTTTCATGTGCCTACTGGGGAGCCAATATTCCCACCAGAACATAAAACTCCATGAGAGCAGTCTGCTTTATCTGTTTCGTTCACCCATGTATGCCGGCACCTGACATCCACAATGTTCAATGTACTTGTCATGTGAATGAATCCCAGAGGATGGTGGCAGGAGGGACTGTTTCAGAATTAAGTCACTCAGTTCTGATCACAGATCTGGTTCTAGCAGTGGCCAAGCCCACAGCTCATCTCCCTCACCAATTGTTACAGGTGCTATGCTGATTGCTTTGATTTCTTTAAACTCAATCTGCACCAACAGTTCTGCTGATGAGGAACTGAGGAAAGGAAAGACATCTAATAAGAACTAGGACTCAAATCCTCAACTGCCTGAGTTTGAAGACATCTGCTTCATATTCCCAGTTTTCTCTTCCCTGTGAGCCTGTCCCTTCCCTCTGCCTGGGCTCTGTGCCCAAAGCTGCTACCCTCTTCCTCTCAAGGTTCCTTCTGGAGTCTGAGGCCAAGAAGGATCCTTGAGGCCAAAAGTTTTGAGCAGGCCTTGTCTGGGTGCATTTCTGGAACCTACAGCTGCTGCAGGCAGGATTCCTCAGGTCCTATCTTTTTTTACCCACCTGCCAAGGCAGCAGAGGGATGGCATACATGCCTGGAGGAGATGGAAAACAAAACTCCAAAGACCAGACAAGCCCAGTCCTTGTGCTCTTCATTCACAACTTTGTATTAAATATCTACCTTGTGCCAAGCCAAGCACTGTATGAGGTGCCTGGGACCCTGCCCTCCTGTGGCTCACACTCTTGTAGGGGACAGAGATCATCAGGAGATCCATAACCTCCCACTGGAGTGGTAAGTGCAATGAAGGAAAACAGTGGGAGGGGGAAGTCCCAGGGGATGTTGTTATATATTGTCAGGGAGGGCCTGAGGTTGACCCGAGCAGTATGAAGGAGTCTGAGAAGATCTGCAGGAAAAGTGTTTCCGGCTGAGGAATGGCATGCAACGATCCTGAGCTGGAGGAGGAAGAATCACAAAGCCCATATGTCTTTAATGGAGGAAGTAAGGGCAAGCAGGAGTAGAGCTCAGCAAGGTGATCAGATGCATAGGAGCTTGTAAGGCAAGCATGGAAGGCCTTTGAATATGATTCTGAGCCATGTGAAGTCAGTGAGGGTTTCAAGTGCATGTGCATCTTTGGGGAGGGGGTTAGGTGGGGAAGACCCACTCCAACGGGCTGCTGTGTGAAACTTGTGAGACCTTGGGCCTGTGGGTTCAGTCTCAGGGCCTTTGTCTCACACCTCACTCCCCATCCTGACCCACTCCTCACCTGTACAGACTGAGGTCTGTAAACCAGTCCTGGACGACAATCACCACATGGCAGACCGTGAAGAGGAAGGCGGCAATCTGGAGTGACTAAGACGGGTAGGAAGGAACAACAGAATTGAGGGTTTCTGATGCCCAGACTATGGTTCTTGATCCTAGGACTAAGCTGAGAGAGCAGCAGGGCAATGGCCTCAGAGCCTTCAAGCACTTTCTGTTGCCAGGCGCTGTGCAGGCTCCCTTACAGGCCAATCCTGACTAGGGCAGGCAGCAGGCACTGCCCCGTTTTACAAAGGAGGATGCTGCAGCTTGAAGGGAAAGGGGCAGGAGCCGAGCCAGATCTGATTCTTCATGCTGTCCTCTTCCTACAGCTCTCAGGGCACCCAGGGCTCTTATGAAGCAGACACTAAGTCAACAACCACATGCAGCTCCCATCACAGATCCTGAGAGGGTGGGAGGGGAGTGTAAAATCCTCACCCTTGGTCTGGCTAGGCTCCCTTACCTGCATCTCAACATAGGTGTGGGGAAGGTTGTACTCTGGAGGCAGTTTGCGGTCATTATTGATGAGATGGTCCAAGATGGAGGGGCTCAGGATAGGCTGGAGCACAGGAGAGAAGACAAAGTGAGGGAAGGGACCGATCACAGCCACCAGACTTCCATACAGTCTTCAGACAAAGAAACAGAAGCAGGCAATTTCTAATTAGTACAGTGCTAGGTAGCAGGAGGAGGGTAAAGGAGGGTAAATGGAAAAAATTTCAAAGCAGATACGCTTCCCCCAGCTCCTTTACAAATCATCACTGCTCGAAAGCACCTCAGGCCCAAAGAGAAGATGTCTCCTGGTGCTAATAAATTTATCATTTACTTGAATGAGTCACATCCCTTAAAGACTCTTTTTGTTGTTAGTTGTTTCATATGCTTTCAAAATTGTGCTATGATAATTACTTAGGTCAAAAACAACTAGTAGTGTGAAATCCGGTGAGGATTTAAAAATTACATCAGTGCATGTAAAAGTTCAGTGGTGAGCTCGACAACTTTTCTTAAAGGGCCATTCCACTGAAAAATGATAAGAGTTAAATCACTTCCACAGTCACTACTACTTACTGTGGTGAGTGGAATTCTTTTGGCAAGGGCTTTCACAACTATTCGCTTTCTAGGACTCTAAAACCCAAGCAGGACTCTGTTACATCTTACCTTCCTTTCTTCCCCTCACAGGCCTCGGACTCAGCCCACAGCCAGGTGGGTTTGTCTCTAGGTCCTGGTGGCCCCTGCACAGGGCCTGGCACACAGTGCTCACCTCATATTTGTAGGTTTTCCACTCTCTATCATCAATACCCAGTGACCAGAATGCTGTTCTACCAAGTATGAGCACCAACTATGGCCCAGGCCCTGTGCCCTGAAAGCATGACAGGTGGGGAGTGGCAGCACACACTGGCAAAGCACTTGCTGTGAAGGGAAGTGCACCTGGGCAACAGTGGGCATCAGAGGCGGGAGGCTTCTGAGAGGAGGCCACCCCCGCGGGACTCCTCAGGGAGAAGGTTCAGCTGTCTATCGTGACAATACTAAGTGCATTTAGCACTCAATTCAAGCTGAGCACTACCATTAGGACTTCACTTGTATTGGTCTTTGAAACTTCACAAACACCCTAGGAGGTGGGCAATATATTTCCCCACTCGAAAAAACTGAGGAATGGAAATGCTGAACAACGTGATCAAGTCTGCAACAGTCACTGTTGGTTTCAGGTAAAGACAACAGGATGCACAGAGGCCAGAGAGGAGAGGGCCCTGGAGAAGAGCTCTTGTGGGTGAGGCTGGTGACTCCAGAGGTTGAAGAGAGGAGACTGAAGGAGTCAAGCCACAGAATTCAATGTCAGGCTGAGGAACCGGGACTCTGCCTGACAGCTAGGGAGCAGCTGAGGAAAGCTGCCAAGCAAATGCATGACAGGTCAGTTCTAACGACGATACAAGTCTGAGCACTAACCTCATGCCACGTCCCAGTTACGCACTGGGCCTGGACTGCTCCACTGAATCCTCAAAACTCCTAAGATGCTAAGTACAACTCTCATCTCCATTTGCTGATAAAGACTTGAGGATTAAGGGGGTTAAAATGTCAAGTTTCCTAGCTGGTAAGAGTTAAAGGGTCAGGCTCTGGGCTCACACTTGAAAGCACTGGAAATGTGTTAGAAGAGCCTTCAGACCACAGTGTGCAGTGAATAGGAGGGGCAAAACCTGACTTGAAGAGATTAAGGGCCAAGAAAAGACACGACCTGACCAGGGGCATCCAGTACGAGCATGGCCTGGCCGGGTGCACATGGAAGCCACTCAAGGTTCTGGCTTCATAATCCCCTAGCATGGGGCTGAGCGTGGGAAGGTGAGGCAAGTGTGGTGCTGGCACCTGTGTGTCCAGGAAGACAATCCGTTCTTGGGTGATGAAGAAGTCTATGCCACTGGTCTGGTTGCCCCCTCGTTCCTTCATTTCAGCACTCTGGGCCCGGAAAACATATGCCCTGTGATGAGGAGAGGGCAGTGGTGAGTTGCTGGTTCTGGGCCTTGACAATTCAGAGTAGAACCCCATAAGCAGGGAGATGCAGTTTCCTGCTGCCCACTAAGCCTTCCATCTGGGGTTCGTATCTAAAGGGGGTCATGTTTTGTAACCCGTGCCTTTCCTTCTGCCCATAGATTAGTAGACTGAGGTATTTAAGAGCAGAGACTCTCCAGACTGCCAGGATTAAAATCTCAGCTCTCTCTCTTCCTGGCTCTGTGGCTTGTTCCCTTTCTCCTCAGTTTGCCCATCTATAAACTGGGGATAACAACAGTACACAAACTTTTAGGATTACTGTGAAGTTAATATATGCAAAGCCCTTAGAATAGTGCCTAGTATACAGCAATTACATAGTCTCTTGCTCCTAGTTACCGAGTGTTCCTGCTATATGTCAGGCACGAGGACAGCACTGAACGCTCTCCAGCCCCATGGTGAAAGACAGTTTGGAGTCTTGGTTCTCAATTCCTCCCCTAGGCAAGTCTCATTTCTACCTGTGCTGGGTGCTGGGAACATGAGGGTAAAGGAGGCAGAGCTGGGTCTTGCCCTCCACTACTAAAGTCAACTTTGTGACCGAATGATTTTCTCTTTCAACCTGAAAAACCAGAATAATAGTATCTGCCTCCTGAAGGGTAATTTCTATCTCCCGAAGATGCTCCATTGTCTTGTCACAGAGCAGGCATCCGCCCACTTCACAAACACTGCACGAAAACCTCCTATCTGCCAGGTACCAAGACTGAGCAGTGAACAAGAAAGACACAGTCTCTGCTTCTGTGGAGCTTAGAAATCAAAGGAAATTGGTAACTGTGGGCAGTAGAAAGAAGAGGTGTGTAGCACTGAGGGGGGACAATGCAGTTGGTGGAACCGGGAAGAGCTGCCATGAAGAGGGAAATGACACTGTGGGGGAGACAAAGAGGGAGTTAATTAGGTGGGTGTGCAGGAGAGAGAGAGAGGAGTTGGATGTAGAGGGCTATTTCAGGAAAAGAAAGGTGGCTTGTACAAAGTACTGGTAAGAGCAGAAAGAATGGAACAGTGGGACACAGGAAGAGGTAGCAGCAGAAAGAGGCCACAAAGGACCTTGTAGGACATGGTCAGGAGCTGGGGCTATTGTCTTTGAGCCTAGAGAAGCCCCTGATAAGTAAAGGAAAGGACTGTGGGTGGCAAGAACAGAGAATGACTCCTGAGGCCCAGGACTGAAGCCTCCCTTTGTCTCTCTGACCTCATGTTCTATGACTCCTGTTCTTTTTTTTTTTTTTTTAAATAACTTTATTGTATTTATTTACTTTTATGTGGTGCAGAGGATCGAACCCAGTGCCTCACACATGCAAGGCAAGCGCTCTACCACTGAGCCACATCCCCAGCCCCGACTCCTGTTCTTTATTTGTGGTGCTGGGCATCAAACCCAGGGCCCTGCTCATACTGAGCAAGTGCTTACAGCTACTGACTGCCCCTCTTGCTTCCTCTGCTCCAGCTCCTTAGCCTCCACACTATTTTGCACATACTTTGGGAAGTTCCCACCTCAAAGACTTGCACTTGCCATTGCCTCTCACTGGAACACTCCACCCCAAGTCTGAGTTTTCTCCAATGTTCTCTTTACAAAGGCCTTCCTGATCACCCTGTTCAAAACAAACCTAGGCCCAACCATCTCCCCCATACCTCCTCTTTTGTTATCATCATCTAACATGGCAAGTGATAGATCTGTTTCGTTTTCAATCTCCCCTGTTAAATATAAATGCCATGAAAGCAGATTTTTGTCAGTTTTACATTCTCCCACAGGACCTGGCACAATACCTGGCACATACTAAGCATTTGATATACACTTGCTGGGGCTGGGATTGTGGCTCCTTGGTGGTAGTGCACTGGCCTGGCATGTGTGAGGCACTGGCTTCGATTATCAGCACCACATATAAATAAATAAAATAAAGGTCTATCGGGCTGGGGTTGTGGCTCAGTGGTAGAGCGCTCACCTAGCACATGCGAGGCCCTGGGTTCGATCCTCAGCACCACATAAAAATAAATAAAATAAAGATATTATTTCCAGCTACAACTAAAAAATAAATATTTTAAAAATAAATAAATAAAGGTCTATCAACAACTTAAAAAACAAACAACAAAAAACAACTTGCTGAATTGAACCAAGGCAGAGATCAGATAGGAGGTTCTAGGTATCCTTCAACGGAGATATTAAAGACTTAGACCAGAGAGGTGGGAATGAAGGAAAGAAAAAACAGATGAATTATAAAGATATTCAGGAGGTATAACCTATGAGACCTGATGGTATCAGAGTTGAAGTCAGAGTTGGTACCAAAGTCTACTACTACATAGGCTGAGATGGCTCAAAAAGATAAGCTGGGCCAATGGGATTTTCTCTAGCTCAAGAATCTGGTCAAAGGACCACAGGAAATTTTTGCTACCTGGGGGTGAAAGTTGAAATGGAAACAAAGCTCTTCAAGAAATCTGAGCTGTTCCCAAGTGCAGCCAAGCTGAGTTGCATGAGTGAGCAGAGAACAGAGAAAAGTGGTAGAGGAACCTCGCAGCTACAGTTCCAGAGGATGTATAGTCTCACAACAGTGATTCCTAACCTTTCCTAGATCTCCATCAGCCTCCTGAGACCTGATGAAAAGTATGGACCCTCTCCCTAAAATAGCCTGAGTGAAGATGGGTATAAAATTCTGCATATACTGTTAGGAGGTTCACAGACTCCCTAATTCCTACCTGTGGCATCCTGTGGGTAACATCACCTGGTTTATAAAATAAACGCCTATTTTTTTTAAGATAATGAATCTGTCCCTTACTTCCTGAGTCAGCTGTTATTCCTTCTCAGTCTCTATACTGTCTTCCTTAATTAGCTATCTCCCCTCCCTAATTTCTTCCTTTCTTCCTTTTCTGCCCCGTTTTAAGCCTTTTTTCCCAAGATCCCCCCCCCTCCAAAATCTGCTCCTCAAACTTTATCCTTTATCTTCATAATCACGCTTCATCCTTACTTAAGAATATTGTTCAAGCCAGGGGACTCTCAGTTCTGGTCCTCCTCAACATAGAGAAATTGGGAGACCCAGTAGGACCAAGGCTGGTATAGAACCCACTCCCTGTGTCCAGATTTCTTTCCCCCACTCTATTTCTCAGATCACATCAGCCACCATCCTGTGAGCACTTGGGCACTGTGCCAAGTTCTTGTTAACTTTTGCCTTCTTGCTGAGTGCCAGTGACTCAAGAGACTTAGGCAGGACAATCACAGCTCAAGACCAGCCTCAGCACTTAGTAAGGCCCTCAGAGACTGAATTAGACCCTATCTCAAAATAAAAATTAAAGGGCTGATGGGGCTGGGGATGTGGCTCAAGCGGTAGCGCGCTCGCCTGGCATGCGTGCGCCCGGGTTCGATCCTCAGCACCACATACAAACAAAGATGTTGTGTCCGCCGAAAACTAAAAAATAAATATTAAAATTCTCTCTCAAAAAAAAAAAAGGGCTGGGAATGTAGCTCAGTGATAAAATGTCCCTGGGTCCCATTCCCAGTACACAAAAACAATAACAACAACAAACCACCATTACCACCACAACAATGAGAAACCTATGCCTTCTTGAGTGTGATCTGACAGGTTTGGGGTTCCTCTTCCCCAAATCCACTTGAATGTGGGATTTGGGAGGTAAAGAGACCTGCCCAAGGTCAATTGGCTGATAAGCAATCAGGGCTGCGCCTGAACCTATCCCAAATCCAACTTAACATCCAACTTCCTGCCAGGGCTCTATCAAAAGCAGGAAAGGAGGGAAGAAGGAACAAAACTGGCTGTGCAGACTTTGTCCGGCCCATAATTATCCTCTTCTAATGAAGAACTGAGACCTAGAGAAGAGAAGCAACTGCTTTGGTAACATCACTTATAATACTCAGACCCACTCTGTCCCTGCCCCAAGTGAATGCCCACCTCCCTCCTGGCCTCCTGCATCCCTAACTGATCCCCTCACCTCTGGTCTTCCTCTGGAGTGTTGGCTGACAACAATGACATGACCATGGACTTGCCTGTCCCCTGAAGGCCCAGGACACCAACCACCAACACGTCAGTTTGATCCAATAGGTACTGTGGGAAAATATAGGAATATGACTTTCACAAATATGTTAGATGTTGGTGCTGAAGCAAGACTGGAGACCCCAGAAACCTTTGGGGCTTGCCCACCTGCTTTATCAGATAGGAAGAAAAACGTCTATGGTCCCAATCTCCTCATTTGGGCAAAAGGCCTCTGTTCTGTGTCATGGTGGGGTTATGTGGAATGTTGTGGATACAAAGAACAATATCTGTAAGAGTTCTGTGGAAAAGAGCCTGGCATGGTCAAGAAACTAAAAGGAAGTCAAAGTGACTCAAACACCGTGGGAGAAAAAAGGGATGTTTGATCTTGCAGAAGAGAAGGTTAGAGGCAGAGAAACTAAAGAGCAGGTTTGGAAAGACAGGAATGGGTAACTGAGGGCTCTGAAACAGACTTCTGAGAGGCTTCCTGCTTCAGGCAGGTGTAGAAAACATTAGGAAGCATGACAAAGGCAATGGTGTGCAGAAGCAGAGATCAGAACATTCAGGCTCTCTAAAGAGACCTTTGCCTCTGTCCACCAGTTTTGCTGCCTTTTACCACAAGGGGGCGGAAGAGATACTCAAGGAAAATCTTGCTTCCCTGAAGTTTGGTTCCTTAGAATCTTGGGAAGAGCTATGAAAAAAAAAAAGGGGGGGGGTGGGGAGCTGGGTGCAGTGAAACAGGCTTATAATCCCAGCAACTTGGGAAGATTAAGCAGGAGGATCACAAGTTCAAGGCCAACCCAGGCAACTGAGTGAATCCCTTTCTCAATGGGGGTAGGGATAGGGGGTGTTTGGCTCGGTGGTAGCATGCCCCTGGGTTAATCCTCAGTACCAAAAAACAAACAAATGAACTGGGCTTAATCAGTAGTTAATGAGCTTTAATACCTTAAAGCATAATATCTGTTCAATGGTGGGCACTGATCACATGTGGATACTTAATTAAAGAAAATTAAAAATTCTGTTCCTAGCCAGGCATGGTAGCTCATGCCTATAATCCCAGTGACTAGGGAGGCTGAAGCAGGAGGATCACAAGTTGGAAGCCAGTCTCACAACTTAGTGAGAATCTGTCTCAAAATGAAAAAAGGGCTGGTGATGTGGCTCACTGATATCTCTGGGTTCAATTCCTAGTATGAAAAAAAAAATCTGATTCTTAGTTGTATTAGCCACCTTTCAAGTGTTCCAACAGCCCAATACAGAGGTAGTGGCTACATTACATACATCATTTCCATCACTGCAGAAATTTCTACTTGATGGTGCTGAAGGATAGGGCCTGGACACTTTTTTTGAGGGTTGGGGGGGTACCAAGAATTAAACTCAGGGACACTCACCTACTGAGCCACATCAGCCCTATTTTATATTTTATTTAGAGACAGGGTCTCACTGAGTTGCTTAGCGCCTTGCTTTTGCTGAGGCTGCCTTTGAACTCACAATGTTCCTGCCTCAGCCTCCAGAGCTGCTGGGATTACAGGTGTGTACCACTGTGCCAGGCTTTTTTTTTTTTTTTTTACATCTCCAGTTGATGTCAATGTGAGAGTGGACATAAAGGCAGCAGGAGCTGGTATTATAGGTACTACATGAGCCAGGCATATTTTCCTAATAAGTCCAGGTTGCTATGAGTTCGGGGACACCATAGGGATAATCTGAGCAGGAGTGTGATGTGACAGGTTTGGGGGAGAAAAACCAACAGAGAAGAAGAGGTAGGTATTTTTGTAGAGGAATGTGAGGTGTGAACCAGAACAGAGGTAGCTGGAATGGGAGACCTCTAAGGAAGGAGACTGAGAACTACACTGAGACAGTGAAGAGTTTCAACCAATTAGGAGTGCTGCAGCATGATCCAGGAGACACCTCTGCTGTGAGGTGGCACAAGAGATCCCAGGGTATCTGGGAGTACCTCTCTACCAAAGTATTTCAGTAGCTTAACAACTAGCACAGCTGAGCTGGTAGACACCCAGGGCTGGTTAGGCAAGAACTTTCTGATTCTGACCCTATTCACTGCTGTAGCTGCCCGAAAGTTGTCTAGTCTGGTGTTGCCTACTGAGAGCCAGAGGTAGGGGTGAAGGGACAGAAGGTGTGGGACCCAGGGAAGCTCAGGTAGGCAGGGATCCCAGTACCTCAATGGCACTGTCACACCAATTCATCTGGTCATCCACCAACTTGATGCTGTGTTTCATACGCTCCGGGGGCAGTAGTTTGGCCTGGCCCACAACAGCTGGAGAGAGGAAAAGCAGAAGTCAGAGGATGCGGTGAAGGTCTACGTATGATGGGGGCCAGCTCCCAACCTGCCTGCCTGGCCCCAACTCACGGTCCATGGCTGTTGGTGCGGCAGTGCCCATGCCCCGGTTCTGGATCTGATACACAGGCTGCGTAGGTCTCTGACCCTCCTTCTCTCCCTTGGGTGGTGCAGGGGCTGCAGGAGGTGGTGGGGCAGTGCCATCAGGGGTAGAGGCACCTGTCACAGCCACAGGCCCCTTCCCCTCCTCCCGTGGCTTCATGAGGACAATGGGCTTCTCCAGAGGGGCTGGAGCAGGTGGCGCAGCAGGGGCAGTTGGAGGTGGTGGCTGCTTTGACTGTGGGAGTAAGAAGGTTTCAGCCAATGGAGAGGATCTCTTCCCTAATGGCTCCCCTTCTCCCCCCTTCCAAAGGTGCTTCCCAGCTCACCCGCTCTGCTGGAGGTTTCGAGAGGATGATAGGGGTTTTTTGCATGACGGAAGTGCTCGTTTCTTCACTGCCATCCTGTGGTCAAGGGAAGGCAATTGCTCAGGAATGGCTCCCCTGGATCTCCTAGACACTCCAGATGGCCTTTAGGGGCCAGGTATCACTTAAAAAACCTCCGCATATTACCTTCTTCAATCCTACCAACACATCTGGGGGACAGATACTGTTACTCCCACTTAACAGAGGCACAGAGAGCTTAATTGGCTTGCTCAAAGTCACATAGTCAATAAGCACTGGAGCAGGATTTGAACGAGGCAGCCTGGCTCCAGAATCATGTCCTCATCCATTCTTGCCGCCCCCAACCTGTGCAGGCAGCTGAACTTAAGGTCGCTTGGTGAATTTGCAGGGACACCAAATAAAACACAGACACAAATTACCTTTACACAAGCTTCAGGACGCTTCTCTGCTCTCGGCCTCAGGCTCCCCAAAAGGGAGAACAAGAGAAAGTCACGAGAGGCTGGCCAGAGAGTGAGAGCACGTTTGGAAGTGAGCTTTTATTGGGGGGACCCTTGTTCTTTAGAAAGTTCTATCCCAAAAAGGCCAGGGTATCTGGGAGTACCTCACCTCCAGGGGTGACACCTACATCTGAAGACCTTCAACTCTATCCGAACAGTCACCATAAAATGTTAATGATTGGTCAGAGCCTCCTGCTTCAGGACTGGAAGGTGTGAGTCTTTCTGATCAGCTGTCTCTATTAAACAAGTCCAGGGGAAACAAGCCACGGCTCTGAGGCCAGACAGATCGGCTCAAACCTGGTCTAACCTATTTTTGGCTATGAACTTGAATAAGAAACTACCCCTCACATGTGCCTCAGTTTCCCCCTCCAGTGGGTGGGTTTAGGTGTTTCTTCCTCACAAGACTATTATGAAGACAAAAGGTGAAAGAACTTGCAAACTGCCAGCATGGCCCCTGACACAGGCAAGTGCTTCCAATGTGAGAGTCGCTGGCAGTACTTGCTGTCTGGATCACTTCTTCCTCAGACCTGCACCAGAGGGCTCTGGACTGATTGCCACATGTTGCCCTCTTCCTGACTCCCCTGACTCCCCTCCACTCTTACAAGAGGGGAAAGTCCTATTCCTTCTTTGGTTAATTGAGTAACTCGGGAAAATCTTGACCACTCACTGATCTGCTTCTTCACCCAGTCACTGAAGATACCTAAACCCTGCTCACTTCCTTGGCTCAAAGAAGAACAAACAAAAGGGTGACATGAAAGTGTGTTGGAAAGAAGAAACATTTCTAGGGAATACCTGAAGGGCAGCAAGTTTCCAGGAGGGGAAGGAAAAGTGAATGACTTTTAGGTGAGCATGTCTGAGTCTGGCCACAGTCAGCCTGGACTCTATGGGATGGAGAGACATGGATAGATATGTGTGGAAGGCAGGATGTACAGCACTGGAACCTGACCAGCAGAGGAAGCAGGAGGGAGGGAGCATCCTAGGATGAGGCCCAATGGACCGTCATTGACACAGGGAGGAGAAATTCAAGGAGAGATGGCAGGAAGATGCTGAAGTCAGTAGGGGATGTGTAAGATGTGAGGAACCCATGGTGAGTCAGGAAGCTGCCAGGACTTGGGAGCGAAGTCAGAGACAATGATAAGACCGGGGAGCTGCTTGTTTAGGGACGAAAGCTGATGGTGTAGGAAGGCAGAGACATTCTCCAAAAGGATGTGCGTAGAATAGTCTATGCTGTGACCCAAGAATAGGAAAAAAAAAGCCCAGTTAGTCTTGAAAAAATTATTCTTAATACTTTTAGTTTTATGGCTCAGAAACTGGTCCCAAATTTTTCTTTCTTCCACCAAGTATCTCAAACGTAGGCAGGGCCTTAGAGAATGCACCCAGAGCTGGGCTTGGTGGCACACAACTGTAATCCCAGTGGCTGGGGAGGCTGCAGCAGGAGAGCCAGCTCAGCAACTTAGCAAGGCCCTAAGCAATTTAACAAGACCCTATGGCTCAGTGATTAAGTGCCCCTGGGTTCAATCTCTGATGCCAAAAAAAAAAAAAAAAGACGGAGAGAGAAAGCACCAGAGGACCAGTTCTGGGTTCCACAGCAGAGCAAAGCAAGGCTGAGGCACAACTGAGGCCTCCTGATTCCCAGTCAGAATGATGTTATGCTTGAGATTAATCTGGACCTGCATCTGAGGCCTGGCCCCAAAGCTTATTGACTGTGATTTTGGGCAAGTCCCTTTGCCTTTTAAGTTCATTTTCCTCATAGAGAAAATGAGAACTGTCAAAGGTTCTACTTCATGGGGTAGGTAGGTGTAAGGGTTTAGGAAGACCCACAGGATAAAGCACTTAGCACAGTACCAGCACACTGTAAGTTGCTCGATAAATAGACACAGTTGCTATTGTTATTGTTACCAACTCTTTAAAACATGAGATTTTGGCAGCTCAAACCCTCCAACAACAATTTTACTCAGAGTGAAATCCGTAATTCTTTCCAAGGCTTACCACCTCTCTGTCCTCATCTATCAATCTCCCTCCTTCCTCATCTACAGTAGCCATATTGGCCTCCTGACTAATCCTTGAACATACTAGATCAGGCCACCTCAGGGCTTTTGTACTTGCTGTTCTGTCTACTCAGATTTGGGTATGGTTTGTTCCCTCATTTCCTTTAGGTCTCTGCTTTAGAAGTCAACTCTTCAGAGGGGCTATCATCTAAAACATCCCCCTTTTTTATTCTCCACCTTCTTATTCCATGAGAAGTCAGCTCAGATACATCCTCAGCACCTAGATTGAAGCCTGACACATGGCAGATGCTCAATGAGCATTTGTGGAACAAATGGACCATGAATGCTGCTCTTGGGTCAAGACACTCACCCGTCTCTCTCTCTCCCAGGGTGCAATGTAGTCCCTCTCCCGACCACCAGGCCCAGAGAGATTCTGGGGACCACCAGAGCCAGGCTCCTTCCACCGTCGGCGCCGCTCTATCCCATAGAGTCCAGGCTGACTGTGGCCAGACTCAGACATGCTCACCTACAGAGGGAATGAGGGGATTTCAGGACAAAGAGAGTTTCTTCCCACTCCACTTGGCTTCCCCAGGAATTACTTTCAAAAGAGAGCTCTATAACTGTGGCACAACTGCCAGCTGGCTCCAAATACCCATTCTTTACTTCTTCCAAATTCTCAGTTCTGAGCTAGGTAGATGGCTTATTGAGACTCATTTCTCAGCTTTTGTTTGTAGCTGGGTGTGGCCACATGACTAAAGTACGTTCTGGCCAATGGTATGATACCAAAGTATGGTTTGGCAATGTTAGGAAACTTTCCTTTATAGAAGCTGGCATTTGCCTTTTGCTTCTTTATCCTCCTGGCTGAAAGGAATGTGGGTGTACAGTCTGGAGCTCAGACAGCCATCTTGGGATGGGAAGCAAGTTAATAGAAGGCATGGTAAAACATGACCCAAGGTTTGGCAATCCCATATTAATCTTAAATACCTCTGCAGGCAGTGAGAAACATTTCTTTCACTTCTAAGTCAAAACCATTTTCAACTACTGAAATGCTCTAACACAAATACAATTTATAGGGACAGATTCACATAAAAATTAAATATTCTCCAACTCAAAATGCAGCAAGTCATTTTCTTACAATGAGTAACTTACATGAGTAGCATGACCCTCATTTGACAGCTCCTCTTTTGATTACCTGTTACTAGTATATGAGTGGCTAGGGTTCTAGCATCATGGGCCTATGTTTACCTGATAACCCACTGCATTTCAGTGTCAGTTCATGTTGAGAGCCACAGCCAAAGGGGCCCCAGCAAACTTCCAGCTGCCAGCAAACTTCCAGCTGCTGGCTGATGATTGGCTCACAGCGGCCCCAGCAACATCTAGCTGATTGGCTCCTCAGCCCCAGCAACATCTAGCTGATTGGCTCTTCTGCGGTGATGCTCATTGGGCTGTTTCCCTGCCCTTTCAGACCACGGAGCTGCTCATTGGGGGACTTTTTTGGCTCCGCCCACGTGACCCAGCCAATCGGCCTCAAGAGCAGGAGGATTGTGGGAGGTGGGGAGAAGCTTGTGTGGGAGAGAGAGGCTTGTGGAAAGCCGGTGGTGGCAGTTGAGGCTCTGAGGGTTTTTCCTGAGAGGCTGTTTTGTTTGGCGTGTGTGGTTCTAAAAATAAAGTTAGTTTCTTTTGACAAGTGGCTCCTGATTGTGCCCAGCCAGACTGTGGCATTTGGTGGCTCGCACGGGGAGCGACTGAGGGTAAGTGAAACTGCTCGCCCCTGAGGGCAGGGCGAGAGGATGGGTAGCCATTTTAAGATTCCTCTTTTATTTTGCTTCACTTTTGTTTTAAGTTGCCTGTCCCTGGAGATGAGTGAGACGGAAGAAAAACCGCTCACATCTGAGGAAAAACTATTTACGTCTGAGGAACAGATAGGGAGAAAGGACGGATGCACATGTCAGGAGGATAGAAAGGCTATAATGACTTTTTGTTGTTCCCTTTTTATTTCATTCTGTCTCGGTTTTGTTTGGCGTCATCTTGTTGGGTTGTATTATAGTAGAAATACGGGATCAGAAATTAGTAAAAAACAAACTGAAAGAGTGTTAAGTAAATTGTTAGAGGAAGGAGGCATCCCAGTAAAATCAAGAGCAGTCAGGGCATACGTTGATACAATACAAAAATGTAGCCCATGGCTTTTTAAGGAGGAGTTGTTAAATATATCACAATGGAACCATCATGGTGAAGATTTAAAAAGAATAGAAAAGAAAAGCCCAGGGACTCTGCCAGTTGGCACATTGCCATTGTGGACGTTCATATCTTGTTTGCTTAGTCCAAAGCCTTCAGTTCAGACAATGGTAGAGGAAGGAGAAGACATAATGATTCAAGTAAAAGAGAAGGTCTCTCAAGTTAGTCAGACAGAGGAAAAGATTCAAGTAAAAGAGAAGGCCTCTCAAGCTAGTCAGACAGAGAAAGAAAGTGTAAAACAGAAAAAGCCATCAGGGGGAAAGTTACAACAGGAGACTGCTACTAACACCTTTCTATCACCAGAGGGGGTAAGTGTCCAACCAACAGCACCACCTCTACAGGAGACTGCTACTAACACCTTTCTATCACCAGAGGGCGTAAGTGTCCAACCAACAGCGCCACCTCCATATGCTGGGAGGCCCCCAACCCCCGCAGTTGATAGTTGGGATCCTGAGACAAGATCTCAAATACTAACATGCCCTGTATTTGAGGCAGGAGGGCAGCGATTTTACCAAGTTTTAAATTTCAAAACAGTGAAGCAGCTAAAAGAGGCTGTAACAACCTATGGTCCTCAAGCACCCTTCACTGTAAGCATGGTCGAATCCATTAACAACTTGAACATGACGCCAGCAGATTGGGCTAATATGTGTAAAGCTGTGCTAAATGGAGGACAATACCTGTTATGGAAGGTTGCCAATGAGGAATTTTGCAAGGAGACGGCTAGGCGAAATGCAGCAGCTGGTTATCCTCAGAGAAATCTAGATATGTTGTTAGGAAAGGGACCTTATGAGGATCAGCAGCAACAAATTGCATATGATCCTGGCGTATACGCACAAATTGCTGCAGATGCAATTAAGGCATGGAAGACTTTACAAGGACATGGAGGTTTACAAGGTCAATTATCTAAGGTAATACAAGGAGCTAATGAACCTTATGCTGAATTTGTAGATAGGCTTATTCAAACAGCTACCAGAGTTTTTGGGAATACAGAACAAGCAATGCCATTACTAAAACACCTGGCTTATGAGCAAGCGAATCGTTGGTGCAGAGATATCATTAGACCATGGAAACATGAAGATTTAAACACATATATTAAATTATGTAGAGACATTAATGAACAAGAGCAAGTCGTGGCAGCTGCAGTAAAACAGGCTTTAGATGCCAGAGACATTAATGAACAAGGGCAAATTGTGGCAGCTGCAGTAAAACAGGCTTTAGATGCCAGGCCAAGAACATGCTACAATTGTGAACAAACAGGACATTTTAAAAGGAATTGCCCCATTGGAGGAGGGTTTAACAAAACTAGGTATCAAAGGAGTAGAATACCAGGTATTTGCCCACGATGCCGTAGAGGGAGACATTGGGCTAATGAATGCCGTTCTCAAACCACCATAGAGGGTACTCCATTATCAAAAAACGAACAAGGACCAGGTGTTTATCCACGATATCGTGGAGAAAGGCATCGGGCTCCATTGCCAAAAAATGGACAGGGGGGCCCAATGCTCCGGGGCCCAAAACCACAAATATACGGAGCACTGGAGGAACCCAGCAACCCCATCAGGGCACGGTCCCTAAGCCACATGCTTGTTGTTTAAACAGAGAGGGGGAGATGTTGAGAGCCACAGCCAAAGGGGCCCCAGCAAACTTCCAGCTGCCAGCAAACTTCCAGCTGCTGGCTGATGATTGGCTCACAGCGGCCCCAGCAACATCTAGCTGATTGGCTCCTCGGCCCCAGCAACATCTAGCTGATTGGCTCTTCTGCGGTGATGCTCATTGGGCTGTTTCCCTGCCCTTTCAGACCACGGAACTGCTCATTGGGGGACTTTTTTGGCTCCGCCCACATGACCCAGCCAATCGGCCTCAAGAGCAGGAGGATTGAGGGAGGTGGAGAGAAGCTGGTGTGAGAGAGAGAGGCTTGTGGAAAGCCGGTGGTGGCAGTTGAGGCTCTGAGGGTTTTTCCTGAGAGGCTATTTTGTTTGGCGTGTGTGGTTCTAAAAATAAAGTTAGTTTCTTTTGACAAGTGGCTCCTGATTGTGCCCAGCCAGACTGCGGCATTTTCACCTTTCATTCCTGATGGTCTGCCATCCCTCACACTCTGAATTTCACTTAATGGTCCCATCAGTGTTTAGTTATATAATATATGGCTATCTACTTGACCCAGTCTCCACCATTCAATTATCTGTTCCTAGGTCCTTAGAACAGTTCCCCCAGGTGTTGGTACATCATTCCGGTGAGGTATTTTGAGTACTAAACTATTTACAGGACCATACAGGGCTCTAACTCAGAAGTCAGCTTAACAAACTGATCTGTGGGTCAAATCTGATCTGTCTCATTTTTGCAAACACAATATTTTATTAGAACATAGCCACATCTATCAATTTACAAACTATCTATGGCTGCCTTCTTGATACAATGGCAGAGTTGAGTGGATGACACTGGTCTATAGAGTTTAAAATAACTGCTCTTTGGTTCTTTATAGAAAAGTTTGCTGACCCTGCTAAGTGCCTGTTAAATCACTTTATGAATCCTCCCTACCCCCATATTTCAGTACTTAATGACACAAACAGGCCCTAAGAGAGACTTTCCAGACTGAAGTATCTATTTACAGGACACAGGAGCAATTTTGCTAGCCAGACTGCAGCTCGTCTAGCCCCTCTCACTGTTTGCTATGTGACCTCTCCCTCAGCCACAAATTGGATTGAAGGCTGTCTTCCTAGACAGGAGGACAAGGGCCTGTTTACGGATGCTTATGGAAAATGATTCACTCAGCACTGAAATGACTGTTTACAGTCTCTGATGGAGCTCTCCCCTGAACTTGGTCACTCTTTTGTCCCCTGCAATTAAGTGTCTGTTTACATATTATTCTGAAAACCTCAGTGCCTAAGTGTCTGTTTTTCATGCCTCAATGGTACTAAAGGACCTGTTTACGTACCTATGAGGGTCTCCTTCCCAGGCAAATAAGTGTCCTTTTGCACACTACTTTAGGACCATGTACAGTATTTGAGTTTATCTAACTGCCATTGTGGGGAGCACAAGGCTCCTGTTATAGCTAAGTATTGGGAATTAAAAGCATGTGTTGGGTTTATATCAACAGCTGCAGACCTTGGCAAGATCCCTGACATGCTCTGCTTCTTTTTCCCCTCAGTTCCCTGAACTTATCCCACCTAGATGCAATCTGAGGATACCAATGTTGTGTCCAAGCTGCTTTGGGGACTACCCCCACCACTTAAGAAGCACATTTAAGTGCCTATTTACAGGGCTCCTATAGTGACCTCCCAGAAATTAAGTCTAATTTTACACATTCTTGGGGGGTGGCGTTCAGCATTTCCTCACAGGCTCCCTTTGGGGGAATCCTGCAGAATTGTACACTTGCAAGTTATTCGGGGAGACTCCCAGTTCCTAACTTGTGAACTTTGGCCCATCCTCTTGAGGCACCCAGCGCGCCAGAACTTAATAGCCTTTTCACACATTTTTTTTGTAAAGGACTCCCCCTACAGGCTCCTACGTGGGGACAGTCCTCCCGTAATTAGGCATCGGTTTAAAAGGCCTCCCCTAGGGGACCCCACCACTCCAGACCCCATTTGCACGGCGCTTGCAAGGTCGCCCTAGGATTCAGGAATCGGTCTGGGCTTTCCGAGAGGGTAGTTCGGAAATTCGGTTTCTCTTTACATGTTATCGGAGGGACCTGCTCAGTCCTTTTGGGGTAGGTTACAGTAAGGTCTCCCAGAATCTAAATTTCTATTTATACATTATTCGTGTCTCCCGCCCTGACTCTCGCCAACCCGGCCTTTGGCCGCCGCTCTCCGCTCGCTACTCAGTTCCGCACACCCGCCGACGTCCCAGCAACCCGTTAACGGTCGAGGGAGGGGCGGGGCTTGCGGCGCGTCCCCGCTCCCCGCCGGTGCACGCGCCTCGCGCAGGCTCGCAGGCTCCTTACCTAGGGCGGCTGCTGATTGGCTCCTGGGGCGCGGCGCGCGCTCTCCCTTGACGGGAATCGGGTGGGGGCGGGGAGGTTCCAAAACAAGCCACCCGCCGTAAAAGGTGCCTGGGGGTGGGGAGTGTGACAGACAGACACCGGTCCCTCCGGTACCGGCCTCGGCGTTCCCGAAGGGGCACCTAAGGAAGGCCGTCCCGAAGCAGGAAGAAACAAGGAATATCGTGCGGCCAAGCTGAAATCGGCTCGCTGCGCATGCGCTGCAAGCTGAGCATGCGTTGATGAGAAGGTTGGCTTCAGGACGCATGCGGATGACTGAGGAGGCGGGAGCGCGACATGCGCGTGCGCCTCATTTCGGCGCACGGTTTCCAGTGGGTTAAACAGAAAAGAGGGAGGGCGCGCGGCTCCGGAGATTTGGGGTTCGAGGCCCGCCTCTTACGTTTTGTTAACGTTGTGGAGTGAAGCGGAAGGGAGAAATTTTAATGTCCTCTGCATGAATCACAGCTGGCGGGGGCCCTGGAAGAAGCCCCAGTTTGAGGGAGGAAGCGTCTAGGGGATCAAATCACTTCAGAAAAAGCACAAGTGCGTTTGGACCCTTAAGGAAAGGCAGGGGCATTCCAGGCGGAGGAAACCCCTGGAGAAAGGTGCAGCCTTGGATCGAGGGGACCCCCGGGCCCCCGGATACCAGATGGGCCAGCAGAGGTGGGCGGGTCAAATCCTGACGTCAGTGGGAGAAGCGGCCTGGTCCAGGCAGAACTACGTCATAAATTCCTCGGCAGCGGCGGAGGAAGACGCACCGGATCAAAAGCCAAAAATTCAAAAGTCCCGGGGCAGAACCTAGAGCGCGCCAAAGGCCCAGGGCGCGGCCGGGGTGCGGGGGAGCGCATGCGCAAAGGGTATGGTGCGGCCCTAGCTAGAGCAGGTGGTCATCAAGCGGCAAGATAGGGAGGTGCATGGAAAATTTCCCTTTTTTTTTTTTTTTGGTGTGTGTGTGGCGCGGGAGGGTGGGGGGATGGGGGTGGTGAATGTGGTTTTGCTTTTTCTTTCTTTCTTTTTTTTTTTTGAATGGCATTGAGTATTGAAGCCAGGGCCCCCTCTACCACTGAGCTACATCACCAGCCCTTTTTATTTTATTTTGAGTCAGGATCTTACTAAATTGCCCAGGCTGCCCTCAAACTCGCAATCCTCCTGCCTCAGCCTCTCAACGCTGGAATTATGGAGGGCGCCCGACTTTTACTTTTCATTTGAAATCTGATTTAGTTTCCTTTTTAAGTTTGTTTTTTATTATATTCGAGGGACTGGCTGGGGGGGGGGGGTAGCTCAGTGGTAGAGTAGTCACCTATGATGCATTAGACTGACTTTAATTCCCAGGACAAAAAAAAAAAAAAGATTTGTAAAAATGCTAGTTTTCCCGGGCGTGGTGGCACACGCCTGTAATCCCAACAACTCAGAGGCTGAGGCAGTAGTATCACAAGTTCCAGGCCAGCCTCAGCAATTTAGAGACACCTTGTCTCAAAATAAAAACTAAAAACAGATGGGGATGTAGCTCAGTGGTAAAGTGACTCTGCCGTTCAATCCCCAGTAACTCAAAGAATCAAGTGACTGAGGGGGCTGAAGCAGGAGGATCACAAGGTCAAAGACAGCCTTGATAACTTAATGAGACCTTCCCTCTAACTAAAAAATATAAAAATGGGGTTGGGGATGTAGCCCCGTGGTAGAGAGCTACTGGGTTCAATCCCTAGTACCACACAAAGTTAAGCAGGGCACAGGGATGCAGGCCTTTAATCCCAGCAACTCATGAGACTGAGGCAGGAAGATTGCAAGTTCAAGGCCAGCCTTAGCAACCTAGTGAGGTAGGTGCTAAGTAACTTAAGGAGACCCTGCCTCAAAATTAAAAAATAAGAAGGGCTTGGGATATGACTCAGTGGTTCAGTTCCCCTGAATTCAATCCCTAGTACCAAAAAACAAAAGCAAGAAGAAGCTACATTTGAACAAATAATACATGTACATACGGGGTAAATAATAGAAGTGAGTCTTCACTTCTGGTCCCCATTTTCCATTCCTAAAGCACTGGTTCTCAGTTTCCCTCTGGAGCTCCTGTTATAGCAAAGCATTGGAGTTAGTAGCCTGTGTTGGTTCATATAAATAGCTGCAGACCTTGGCCAAGATCCTTGACCCTCTCTGCCTCATTTTCCCACGTGCAGTGCAGGTGACCGTCCCTTACAATGTTGCCGCCAGGGTTAAGTGGGTGAAAGTGCCTAGAACAGTGCCAGGTACATAGCCACACTACGAGTTGTCATCATTTTGTGACCTGGAATGATGGTGATGATTGATTCTGAGCTGCTCCCTCTCAGGCCTTGTCTCTGCTGAACCCACCAAATCCCTCAGTGTCAGATAGAACTGTGTCTCCATGCTTCTCCATGCTGCTAGGTGAACACGAGTCACACAGACTGACTTGAGTTCTGTAATGTGTCGATTCATCTGAGAGATTGTCATTAACCAGTTGAGAAAGAAGTATTCAGGAATAAAAGGCTTTACTGAGCTGATGCTAGCCAGGAAAAAAAAAAAAAAAAAAGGCCAGGTCTGGGGACAAGTTTCCAAAATTCCAGCAGCAAATCTAGATAGGAGTTGGGAAAATGCTGGACTAGAGAATATTTTTATAATGAAAATTTGGAGAAGGAAAACAAATTGTTTACATTTAATATATATTGGCTATAGAGAAGAGGTGGGATAACATGAAGAGGGGTAAATTTGGGGGGAGGAGGGAACTCCATAAGAAGTGCACATTGCTTCTGGATTGGCTGGAGTTATAAGCAGAATGCAGTGGCACCTTGGGCTCAGGAAAGAGTTTGAGCTAAGGTTTTAACATACATTCAAGAATCTGAAATGGCCTTTTGTGGCTTTTGGACCTTAACTCTTTTTTTTTTTTTTAATATTTTTTAGTTGCCAGTGGATTTTTTTACTTTATTTGTTTATTTATAAGTGGTGCTGAGGATTGGACCCACGGCCTCACACGTGTGGGGCAAACACTCTACCACTGAGCTACAACCCCAGTTCCTGGTACTTAACTCTTAACTCATTAACCTCCTTCATCTCTCCTCCATTCTCTGATAATTAAATTTAGAACATTTCAGAATTTTTCTCTTATCAGTGTATATTTAATTCAATGAAGATACATATGCCATCTCTTAAGACTATCAGTGTTCCTTTCTGCATCTTTGTCCCAGGCCATTATCTGTTTGTTTTCTTTAATCTGAATTCATCAACCCCAGATTACCTCTTATTGCTAGTTTCATATCTGAGGAACTCTCAGAGGTGGGAAGGACATAGAAAAGGAATAGAAGAGCCGGGCATGGTGCCACACACCTGTAATCCCAGCGGCTTGGGAGGCTGAGGCAGGAGAATTGCAAGTTCAAAGCCAGGCTCAGCAATAGCAAGGCGCTAGGCAATTCAGTGAGACCTTGTCTGTAAATAAAATACAAAATAGGGCTGGGGATGTGGCTCGGTAGTTAAGTACCCCTGATTTCAATCCTAGTACCAAATAAAAAGGGAACAGAAGAAGCCCCACATTGACCCCAGGCCCACTGTGTCCGCTATGTCAGCTTCTGTTTTTCCTGCTTTACACATATCACTGCGACCTTCCCTGCTTCCTCCTTTAACAGACACAGAAAGATTAGTCTGAAAGAGAGAAGGGCCTTTTTGAAATCTTAGCTAGGAAGCAGCAGAGCCTGGATTCAAACCCAAGCCTGTGTCACTCTGGGGCGAGCCCACATTTTCCCCTGGTGCAGGCAGCCTGCCTGCTGGTGAGTCAGCAGAGCACTCCGCCACCGGAGAGCTGCTTATGTTAGCAGTGTGGTATGCTGTGGTGTGGCTGTGCCATCCTTTATTAACGATTTCCCCATCGATGTACATTTACAGTGTTTCTGAGATTTCGCTTTTACAAACACTTGTTGCCAATAATATCCTTGTAAACCTGATTACACATATATGGCAGTATTATCAATAGAATGTCTTGTTTGAAGTAGAATGACTGAGTCAAAGGGTATGTGCATTGGGAATTTTGTGAGTCACCGCCAAATGGTCCATTCATCTCTATTAATTTCTCTGTTCATTTCATTCATTCAGAAATTGAATGAATTATGGAATTCTGGTCGTCTGCCAGGCACAGCTGCAGACTGGAGTCCCACAGTGAATAGGACAGAGCACCTGCAGGAGCACCTATTCTAGTGGGGCAGATGACATGTGGGCAGGGGAGATGCTTGGAAGCAAAGAACTGTTGGCGGAGGGTTGGGGAAATGTTGGTCAAAGGATACAAGATTTCTTGGGGCTGGGGCTGGGGGCTCAGCAGTAGCGCACTTGCCTGGCATGTATGAGGCACTGGGTTCCATTCTCAGCACTATGTAAAATAAATAAAGGACTACCAACAACTAAAAAAAATTTTAAAAATTTAAAAAATAAAAGGGATACAAGATTTCAGTCCAACATTGTGGCTCAGTGGTAGAGTGTTTGCCTAGCATGTGTGAGGCACTGGGTTCGATTCTCAGTTCCACATATAAATAATAAAATAAAGGTCCATCAACAACTAAAAAAAAAAGGGAATGAGTTCACTTAGTACGGCAGGGTGACTGCAATTAATAGCCAACATGTCATTTATTTGAAAATTGGTAAGTGAATAGATTTAAAGTGTCCTCACCAAAAAGAAGTATGTGAGGTAAAGCTTGAGGTAGCCATTCTGCAAGGTATACCTTTGTCAAGACACGTTGTACACTATAGATATAAAGGTTTTATTTGCCAAGTGGAAAAGAAAAAAAGAAAAGATAACGGAATTGAAAGTGACAGAAGTCACAAGGCATAACAGTTGGTCAACGGAAGTTTACTTTGCAGGGGTGACACTGGAGCAGAGACCTGAAATGAGCCCTTCAGGAAGATGCTGAAGAACTGAACCTAAAGGCCCTGAGGTGGGGTGGGTCCGAGAGAGGAAAAAACCAACTCTGTTTCAGTTTCCCCCACTGTCCTCTGCAGCAGCTTCTGACACCAGTTGTGTGCAGCGGTTTTCCCCGTGTGCTGAGCAGCCGTCAGACCTGCAGCAGACAGCAGGTGTCCCCTAGTGCAATTCAGTTCTGACAGTTTATCCAGAGAGCATCAGATCCCACAGATTGTGGTTCAATCCCCAAGACTGCCTCCTGCTTCAAATGACAGCCACAAACCCCGGCTTGTTTGACCTGTGCTGAGCAACAGTCTGGAAATCCAGATCTCCACAACCTCTT